TGCAGTCTTTTCAGTGAGAAAAACAGCTTTTTTTCTGCTTTATTAGAGAGAAAAACACATATTGTCACGTTATGGTGTGTAATCATGTTGTCACTTGTCCACCCTCAGCGTGTTGATGTGTCGATGGTGGCCACTTCACAGACATCCTGAGAGGCCTCCAGTGAACACTCGGTCAGTATCATGCCAAGATGTCAGGGTGACATTAATCTTTTTCAAAGCAGAGCGTTGCAAAATGAACTGTGGCAATATGTATCTTTGAATGCATAAATAATGCAAGGGTAGCGTGAAAACCCAACTCATTCAAAAGGAAGTCTTCACCCACAGTGCACATTGGAATAAAGTTCCCCTGAAATGAATGCATTGTGGAGCAAATCACAATTCCGAGCAATGCTTCCAGACCATTATTACAATTTGCAAGATTAAGAAGAAGCTGGGTGTATAGCTTTGCTAATTGCTGTACTAATTCTGATTCAAGGGCCTCTCCTTTTGAGTGTTGGCTTTTACTCAAAATTACCATAATAACTGTTATGGTACTGTATCGAACTGTTGAATTGAATGTTTTTTAAGCGACACCTCTAAAATAATCAAAATAGGAGGATAACGCCAAACGGCAAAAGGAATAGTGATGTTTTATTGCTTATAAGCAGTAGACAATTTGTCCGTTTCCTTCAACATCAACTAGCGAACCGCTCAATTAATGACTCTTTTAGTAATAATAATAATAGTAATATGGTTTAAAGAATATTATAAATCGAAGACAAAATTAGAAGAAAGTGAGAAAAAGTAGCTTTTACAAATACGTCTGCTACTTCAGCACCACGGACAGCGACATGGATTTATCAACACACAGCACGGTCGGGCTGCTGATATTTCAGACCCATGGCCGGGGCAATTGATTCTAACTCCCACAAACCTCAGTCACATGAAGGGTCAATGAGTCGGGCAGCCTCGACTGACACTATTCAACCGAAACAACCCTTCTGTCCCTGCGTTCTCTCTGGGGATAGAGAGGGGGGAGTTTCAGGTTAACAAGCGCAGCGCCCACCCTCCGGTTCCCACTCAGGTAAACACTGCTGCTAGCTGCAGGCTCAGTCGTCGCCATGTTGAGAGCTGTTAGAAATAGAAATGCTCCCAATCTCATTTATAAACACATTTAAATATCAGAAAATGCATTTCACGCAGCCAAAAGTCATCTGTTCAAGTTTGTTATTGTGTCCAACTAACAGCTGAAAGATAAAAGATATCCAGTTTGCTTTCATATAATCCTATCCGCACATTTGTGAAGCTGGCAATATTGCTTGTAAAATTACTCGATGAACTATGAATCAATTAAGAATTTATTTGGTGATTAGTTAACTAAGTCTCAGCTCTTTTTCCTTTACAAGTAGGGCCTTGTTAGAAAATGGGACCAAAAAGTCATCATGAGATCAGGTAACTTGAATGCAAGCGCCCATCTCTTTCTGGCTGAGATTGTAAATGCATGAAGTATGACCCGTTGACCTGAATATCCCATTAAAAAGCATGCACAGCTCCTCCAAGAGTGGAAAACGCAGCTTTTTCAGTGTCTCCCCACACTTCCACCATGGATATCATAATAAATATTGATTAAAAAAAAAAAGATTGCGTGGTTTCGGCTTTGAGGTCTGACCTCCAGCGTGTGTGAGTGCATTAGTGACTTGAAATGTGTGAGTGAAGGTGTGTGCGTGGGCGAGAGACGGATAGTGAGCGATAAGAGGCCGGTAGTGGCTCCTGACTGAGAAGATGGACTGTTATGGCCTCATTGATCTAGATCTCTCACAGGGAGCCCATTCCGATCGATACGAGGAGAAGTAGGCAACAGCACTGCTGCTGTTTGGACCACCGCCCATGCAATGCTCTCTCTGTCCCTCTATCTCCGTTTCTCACTTCCACTGTTTTCACACCACCCACCTAATTCCCCTTAGTCTCTCAAAACAAGCAAATATTTATTTTGTTTGGCTCCTGGTAGCCGGCCTGCTGTGGGAAAACAGCGATTTTTCAGATTGGGCCGCTGTAATTGTCGGTGTCAAACAACGTGACGCTACATGCCACCGCAGCAACTTTACCCGAACTCACGTTTTTCACACTTGAAAACAAGACAAAGGTTAGGAAAGAAAAAAAATGTCGGTAGATTTATCATACTTTGCTCCCGATTAGAGGAAGTGCTTGAAAAGGCCAAATCAGGCCAATAATAATGGGAATATTTCGGATGTATAGGTCAAATACAAAGTAGGAAAATAAAAAAGAAAGGATGAAAATGTCTGTGTGACTCTTTATGTGGAAGAGCAAAGACCTGCATCTTAATGCATGTGTGTGTGTGTGTGTGTGTGTGTGTGAGAGAAACAGAGACAGAGAGTCAATGAGAGCGTCGAGGGGACACAACAGCCCCGTCATCTCCAGTTAGGAGCACTTTCTTTGTGTAAAGAGACCAGGATTGGGGACAGAGGTGTGTGCGGTGTGTGTGTGCAGTAGAGGCTGTTTGCCCCTGCTTCGTCCCACCTTGCGTCTCAGGTGGGATGTGGGAATGAGATTGCGGCTCTCAGGGGCACTGAAGAGCGGCAGAGGGAGAAAATCAATCAATAAGGAAGTGGCAAAGCAGGAAAATGAGGTGAGGAAAGAGAGAGGGAGGGAAAAACAATTTGGTTGCCGCGGTGGACAAGAGAAGGCCGTACGATGCGCCTCGTCTTTGGGGTCACATTATGCTTCATAGCAGAGTAATGTACGGCCATTTCAAAGAACAGTCACTCCACAGTACCGGATACCTGCTCAAAGCAGCAGGGCAGCACCGTCACACGTTGGCGGCCACAAGTGGCGGGAGATAACTTTTAAATCTCTATGGATTAAAAGGAACACAAGTGACAGGGATAACCTTTATTTCACTCTTTTCTCCTTCGGAAAGTACGACACACTCACAAATTGAAGCACTGCGCTCATCAAACGTTTATGGCACTACACGATGGCTCTTCTGGGCTTTAGCGTTGTCCCGGCTCTGACTTTCTGCTTTGTACTGACAGGGCGGAGAAGTTTCACTGTAATTTACAACTAATTTACAGGCCATGAAGTAGCGCAACAATACCTCGGGCCTTTCTGTCAGATGCATTTGAAACAATAGGATTTTTCCTAGAATTACGATGAAGATGTTTATCTGGTAATTGCATAATGATTGGCTGATGAAAAGAGATAACTGTAAAACTCTACATCTTCATGTTATTAATACGACTACAAATTTGTAACAGACATTGTAAAGATTGAAATAAACAGGCAGAGAGAACAACTAACAACTTGAATTAAGTGCGCTTTTAAACTTGACTATTATTCATGCAGGATATCTGCCTCTGCTCCGTCAATTTTGATGATTTAAAAAAAATAATCTGTATTTCTTGTGAGTTCTTCAACTTTATCTAAGTACAATATAAAATTAATGGAGCCCTTTATGCTTTCCATATAATTATTTCATTAACTTGTGTAATGTGGATCGTGATTTAGTATTACCATTTCTATGTCTTGTTCACTTCTAATTATGTTGTTCGGCCTGAGGAGAGTCTGATACATCAGCCTGTCAGGGTTTAGATAATAGACTTCGATATATTGTCTTTAACACACCACAGGCAAACATTTACATTTTCATGCATTGGTCAATTTACAGATTTTAGGCTATTTTGCTGCCACAACATATCTTCTTGACTAGTGGAAAAACATCCAAAATACACGTTTATTGCACTAATTTGTCTATTTGCAATAGTAGATTTCTCCTTCACCAGAAAACAGCATGCGATAATACAGTATTTGCATATTTAAACATAAAATGACAGAAAACATAAAGGCTGTTTTTCTCAAAATTAGTTTTTTTTTTCTCTGAGCCAGAAATCTCCACTTCAGTAGCACTTACATTCACCAAACTTTCCAGTTTCATTCCCGTCTGTATTCTGAAGGTTTCTACTGAGGTGTTAGTCCATACATCATTCATAGCCTGATTTATAAAACATCTTATTCCTAGAAATATTGCAACATTTTTTGTATGGCTGTTTTATGGAGTGATACAAAGAGATATCCAAAATTCCCTCAGTGAAAAAGATTGACTCTAATTTGTCAACAGAGTACAAAACTAATTTGAAACCTACCTTTATCCAATGTTCACATTTCTGCTCTGGAAATGTATGCACATCGGCAATTAATAAGATAAGGCCTCATTTTCTTTTTCAGAAAACTATTACAAAAAATAATTGTATTAATGTAGGTGTTCAACTTGGGCAGTTTCATGGCAATATCTATTAGTTCATATTTTTTACCTAGTTACCTGAGGTGTCTCCCTGTAATTGACTTTGAATCGTCATTTTCTTTCTTTCATACCACTCACACTATTGTTCAGTCATTATAGACCTATGAGTTCCAGTGGCACCCTATAATTGGCATCACTTTGAAATAGTGCATTAGTTACCAGTGCATTGGCTGTAAAAGGTGGTGCGGGTAAGAAATTCCTTTTTCATTACTAGCCAAAGGAAAGGAAATTAAATGTACACCGCTGTTTGGTTCGACTCTGTTGCTTGTAGGTAACTAGGACAACCCACATTGTCTGTAACTCGAAGATTTGTGGGAAATTCAGATTACTCTTCGGCACTTTCGGAACCGCCTCGCGGTATCAAATAAAGAAACAAGAACCGTACCGTGTGCAGAATGAGCACAGTGTGAAATACCACTCCATCTCAGCAGAGACCTTTGATGTCTGATGTTCTTTAATGAAACATCTCGCTCACATCAGAGCACCCTATTAAATTCCACTCATACAGGGAGACAGACAGAGAACGAAAGAGTGAGATTGAGAAAGCCAGAGCAAGGTAGCGCTGACCTTTTGTGTGCATCCGTGGGAGTGTGTGTGTGTGTGTGAGAGAGAGAGAGAGAGAGAGAGAGAGAGAGAGAGAGAGAGAGAGAGAAAGGGAGGGAGGACCACAACATGAAGATAGAGCAAAGAACATGAAGAGAACCATATTTCAAAAGCACTTTATTGAATATTTTCAAAAACTAATCACGCATCTACTCACATCACAGTGTGTTGACTCGAGCAGCAAGATTGCATAAACACTTTAAAGTCGAACTGAAACTAAGAATTATTTTTGCTAACAAATCAAGTACGACTGTAGGCACTCGGCAGCTACTGAAATAGCATAAAAATAAGTAATGTCCGGGAATCAGTTCTAACGTTAGCAAGCTAAGCTAACTAGCGTCAGCTTTCCAAGTGGAAGCTATGGGTGCACGCTAGTTTTCCTAGCCTGCTAGCTTCCAACAGCTGCCGTACCAATATAGTTTGTTTATGCACACAAAAGTGCGTAGGAATTCAAAATTCAGTTTGACTTTGTTTGCATCGACTGTCATACATGCTAAATTATGTAGCTTTTTCAAATGGTCGGACCTGAAAGCTTCCCAATTTCTCTGTGTCTCTGTGTACATTTGAGTGTGTGTGTGTGTGTGTGTGTGTAGAGTATTTAAAAGCATCCAACTCTTAACATCATACTGTTAACTGACAAAAGTGGGCAATGAAGGGAAAACATAATGGACCTCCAGAGTCAGTATTAACATAGTTGAAGAGGATTCATAGAGAGGAACAGCCTTTCATGGTATTACAAGTTAAGCTGTGTGTGTGTGTGTGTCTGTGTGTGTGAGAGAGAGAGAGACACAGAAAGACAATGAATATCAGAAACATCATAGAAAGACAGAACATGTGTGTGTGCCTGTCTTTGCTCCTCTATAGGCGCTTGTGCCGGCAGCATGTTGGCTGCAGTGAGAGAGCATCTGCAAAACGGCAGTCATGAGGCTAATTGTGATAGAGCTAACTCATCACACTGGCACATTCACAACTACATTAACGCACACACACTCCAATGATTGCACGCCCCTAAAGGGATTGTGGAAAACACACTTAACCCTACACACACACACACACACAACATACCCTCACGTATCATTATTGTGTATGTGGTTTAAAACAGTTTTTATCAATGCAGAGGTAGCATTCTCTGATGGTCTGACTTTACAGAAAATGAGCTAATGGGGCTGATTTCAAAACCACACAATAGATTATCTTTAATACAGTTAACCATGTGTAATTCTGGCTAATCCCAGGTGATGAGTCAACCGTCAGTAGTTTTTGGCCAGGGAGGAGCAGAGCTTAGAGCCACAGGTGCACCGCAGCAGTGCTGAGACACACCAAATCACTTAGCAACCACTTTGTCTTATTACCCAGAATCCACCGGGGTCCTGTTAGTGTATTAGCAGGGTATTCAGTTCTTTTCATTAGTGCCCCTGGCTCATATCTGCTTCCACCTGGGTCACAGATGGGGTTTTTTTCCCAAAAAAGAGGGAAGATCAGTTTTCATGATTCTCTTTTCTTTTTTTTCTTTTGGCATTTCATGTCAGTTTATCGGTGTACTTCAGAGGCCTTTCTTCTTCGTCCCTCTCACCAAGTAGTATCTCCTCGGCTGTCTCTCTTTGCTACACAGGGAGAAATCCTATTTGTGTTCTCCTTCATGGCAGCACCGATTGTCGCGGCTGAGTCCAGCTGAGTCCAGCTCAGTCCAGTTCATCTGGCGGCTTGAGATCCTCTGGGCTTCAAAATCTTCCATTTTCAAAAACAGTACTGATATAAAAAAAAAAAAAAAGAAGAAGCTGAAACCGAGGTTTGAATATGGCAGCGCTGGCATATCATATTTTGGGTTTGTAAAAGCTGCATTAGGCAATTTTGCACATAACAATCCCAAATGGCTGAAAGGAGATAACTATCTCTTCAGTAACAACAAATCATGCAGTAGCTAGTATTTCTTCACTTGGGCCTTTTTCCCTCTTAACGGCTACTAATGGGAGCCTTGTCAGCTTTTTGTACCACACCGTCTTGTGCATTGAGAGGGCGTCCTGCAAGTTTCATTTGAACAAATACACTGAGGAGGGATGGGACGCCAGCGTTTGGGATTCACACTGATGGGATTTATGTCTTTTTTCCAGGAAAGTCGTGCCAAGTGCAACTCAGTTTTTGTTTTCCAGCAGCTGAATGTCCCGCCCAGCTCTCAGTCCACTGACTAGTGTGTGCTTGGCTCCACGGCCCACAGTGTACACGGGTCTTCTAACAAACACTGCTGCTGCTCCTCAATACCGCGGGCAAACAGCCTGATCAACTGGCAATGGACACTGCAGAGGGGAACAGAGTGTACACACACACACACATACACACACACACACACACACACACACACACACACACACACACACACATAAAAAGAAGCACACGAGGCATCATTTAGCCTGAATAACAAACCATCAACTTAATGACTCTGCTCATTTCAATGAGGCTTTACCGTCAATGTGGCAGATGTAAAAGCAATGGAACGGCACCCCTGTGTGCAGACTTGACAAGCAAACTCGGGATGAGACAATGTTTGTGGTGTGTTAAGTATGAAGATCTTTAAAGGGACACCTACAACAGATGTTAGAATACAGATGGGGCTGACGCACTATAATGAGACATCCTGATACATACAATAAAAAGTAAAAGTGCACAGGCAGAAAATGAGCTGATGTGAACGGGATAGATGGCTGTTATCGTACAGTATAGCCTCAATTACTGCCTGTGCCTTTGTCTGCTAAATGACACTTTCATTTTTACAGAAACACCTGTTGTTTACTTGCAGGCTTCACGGATAAGTTAATATGATGGAACAGCACAGTAACTTAACTTAGCATTTTCAACCCAATGTTTTCCAGAATGCCATTCACCCATGAAATAAAAATACCAATTTAATAAATATATGTTAACTCTAAAATCAAGGTAGCACTATATGCTTGGGTTATAATTCCATCACTATTTTGTTTTAATTGTTTGGTTCAATCATTGTGGCAGGTCGGGTTCCTTTTCCAAATGTGCATTTCTCACTTCCAATGCAAAACTCTTTCTTTCTTTCCGTTTCGCCTGGGCTACCACCATTAATTATCCGAGCAGCACTCTGGCTGGCTCACTCCAAGAGCGATTAGCGGAGAGGAAGAGGCAATAAAAGCATGGACTTCTGCTTTAATTAAAGGGGAGTAGCCTTTTAACATGGGGAGGGCCGTTAAATTAGCAACATTACAGCGCCATGCATCATTGGCAAAGTACAATGGAGCATGAAATAAATGATGCGTCCAGCAGTGCCACACCGGCTGTATAGAGATCTGATAGTGGAGGACGCTTTAAGTGTGGACGGGGCCAGAATAATGAGGGGGGCTAATTCCGCCAAGTTGCCAAGATCGTCCAACAGGGAACAGTGAAAGAGTCTCCTGACCACAGACTGTTGGACACCAGCAGCGCTAATGGCACTGCTGCTATCATTTCTGTCTGGCCAAGTAGGAGAACTTCTTTCTCACCAGCTAACGCTACTGCTGACCATCAAGATGACTTACTTTTCCTTGACCATGTTGAAACCCTCTAGCATTTGTCTAAAAGAAAAGGTCAATATTTTGGGAAAATATTTGTATTTACTTTATAGCTTAGCTTAGCATTAAGACTGGAAATGGAGAAATAACTAGCCTTGTTCATTGCAATGGTAACAAAATCCAACTACCAGCATCTCTAGAGCTAACCAATTAACATCTTAAAAAAAAAAAGTGTAAAAAAAAAATTTGCTTCCTAGAGTCTCTGCTGGTTGCCCGCTCAGGCTAGATGTTTCCTCTGTATTTACGCTAACACCAGCAGCTGCAGCTAATTACAGAAACGGTGCTATCTACTGTCTACATACCGACGTTTATAATGTACTTTGAAACGTTTTATCTTCCGTTATGGTACGTTGCCTGTTTCCAAATAGTGTTGTGCCAGCACAACATGAATAAGAGATTACAACCATGCTAGCAGCTCTTTAACACTGTGCTAAATGCTAAAATCAGCGTGCTAAGATGTTGACAATGACAATGCTACTAAGGTGATGTTTAGCATAATGTGAACCACGTTCACCATATTAGGTAAGTGTGTTAGCATTTCCTAATTAGCATTGTGCAGTACAGCTACCGACATACCAACCAACATGGCCCTCTACGGAGCCACAACGCTAGCATGGCTAACAATTGTACGTGCGAGTGTTACTTGAGTGCACTATGAATATAGAGCTGTTTAGCATACAGAACATCATCTATTTCCACTTTGGCTTTAAGTCATGATACTCAGAGACACTTTAGAGTAATTTAAACTGGAGATTATGTCTGCAATACCCAGAAAAGGAACAGTCTTTGTCTGATGCAATTGGTATGAGTAAAGTATTTCACAGCTTTTTTCATTATACCTCTTCTACAATATTATGTGCACCAATTCAAAGCCATTTGCCAGTCCTCATCTCTGCTGAGAGAGAGATCCTGTCTGTCTTCATTGCCTCAAAAAGTTAATTTCTTCGTCACAGGCTTCATAAAACGCAAAAAAAGCTGGCACAGTGGAAAAATGATTGAACCACACCTGTCTTCAGCAGTCACAATGATTGTTTCAGTTTTACAGCGTTAAAAAGTCATATATATGGGCAAAACATTCATCAATACTGGTAAATCACAATTCATCTCATTGTTTTTGCCGGTGCTGAGTCGAAGTGATTGTTTGTTTGCACCTCAGATTTGACTTTCTTTAGTTTTGAGTTGAAAAACTTATTTCTAACAAAACGTGGAAAAGCGAGTGCTTTAAATAACTACGACAGGAAGTTGTATTGTACATTCAAAGGTGATTGTGTGATTAGTTACCTGACTTGGATGGCAGCGTCAGGCAGGATCTCCCCGTCGCAGCTCCAGCTGCTGCGGCAGGTGCTGTAGTTGCAGGTCGTTTGGGCCGAGCATATGGGACTGAAGCCTGTCTTCTTTGGACTCTCAATCGGGTCCTCTAGTGAAACCAGCTCATGGTGCCGCGGCTGGAAACGAAACTTCTTCACCCGGTGGACCTCAACAAACGAGTGGTCAAACTGGGGGAATGAGAAATAGATGAAAGAGGAGGAGGAGAGATGAATAGAAGGATGTATGAAGGAACAGATGTGCACACAGATGGTGCAGAGGTTAAGACCACCACTCTCCAGAAGCACTTGAAGAGTTTCATTTCAAACTGCAGGAGGCTGAGAGGGAAGACAAGAATCCATCTTTGTTTTGGGCTTCACCAAGTTACATTTTGTGTACAATTGTTTTTTGAGGAAAAAGCGGTTTAGAGTCGAATGCATTTTCAGTCTTTTTCAAGTATTTTCATGATTACTCTACTGTCGGTGTTTCCACAAGGGTGCTTCAATCAGAGGGAATTAACAAACACCATGCAGAATGCAATTGCATACAAGTGATAAAGGCACACCCTGCTGTATGCTGAAGATGGAAGTTAACTTTTAAGAAAAGATCATTTTAGTACCTCAGCCTCAATCTGATTGATTAAGGTCAAACTAAAAAGTGAATCTATTATATCAATTATTTGTCTTAGGTAGATGAATCGACTAGGGTTCATTTAATCAGGCTCATTAATTTTTTATTGAGACATTTAAATGAACAAACTATTCTAATCGTACACACAAAATAGCACTGAAAATGGACAAAGGCATCTATTCCCATTTTCAGTGCTATTCAGTGCTATTTCTCTGAAATATGAAGATCATATTGGGGCAGTAAAATAATTCTTAGTGGGTAAGGTAAAAAGTTAATTTCTACTTGATTGTTTGTCGATTGAGCTGATTTTATAATAAAAAGTTAAACTACACGTAGATGTCTTCTTCTTTTCCCCAATTACGGTATAGAAAAACACCCAAGAGGAGTTTGAATGTGAAATGGAGGGAGGGAGAGAAGAGGTCAGATAAAATGGAGGTGCATGAAAACTATGTAAACAGCCGGAATGCAGAGAAAGAAGAAAGAGAGAGATGAAAAGAAATAATTTTGTCAAAGTCCCCTTTCATCTCACTCAGTGTCGCAGAAAGGTTCAGCTCTGTCCGGCGCACTTTCTTCCACTTCACGGGGTGCCACTTTCTCTCTATTCCCGACTCTTTTCTTCACCTCTTTTTTTCCTTTTTCCCGTCTCTCTCTCCCTTCCTTCTCTCCCTTTCTCGCCCTCTCTCATCCCAAAAGCGGAGTGACAGCCATTTACTTCACATCAGACCCATTTTATGACTGGAGCCGCTTTGCATTCATGCTGGACTGTCTGCCTAAAAGGCTTTCTGACAAGGCCATGAATACGCTTAGTGGCTTCTCACTCCTTGTTTCTCTCCGCTTGGCTGGACAGTGATGCTGATATTAAGTGAACTCTGATGCAAAGTCCTACTCACCGTACTTATATGACTACTTGTCTACCTTTCTGTGTTGCAAGTGAAGCAGCAAAGACAGCCTTGATCTACAGACGCACTGCATCATGTCTTTTCAATGCAATACCACACTACGATCTGTGGTCATTAGACGGTTAATGATAATATCATTTGGTTTTCTCCATTAGAGAGATGACATCTCCATGAAGAAAAAGGTTTCTTCATGGTACACGAGTTCATCTCAATTTATTTTATATGGGACACAAGCAAAACCTTTGGCAAGGCATTGTGGGTATACAGGCGAAGTGGGAGTGACCAGGGACACAAAGAAACACAAGTTGCATAAAGTTAGATATATTTTCGTAACTGAAAGAAAGGACTACAGACACAGACAAAAACAAATTGATTCTTGGAAAAAAAACATGTACATTTTGGGAGAAAGTGCACGTGGCTTGTATACACGACGTTAGCTAATGAACAAGCTAATTGCTAGCTTGCGAGCATTGACACGCCCACCGCGACGAGTGAGAAGTATTGGAGGCGATGTTCGGCAATTTGGTCACTTTCAGTGGGTCTGCGAATTAGTGTGGTCGAGCTAAATGCAAACATCAGCATGCTAACATGCTCAGATTGTCAAAGTTAGCATGCTAGTGTTTAGCACATGGCTGTATAAACAGAACTGGATTCGTTTGAGGCGGCACCCCCGTTCATTCCAGTGAAAGTCGCTTGGTGGTGCATGAAGCAAACAAATGTTCGAGTTCCAAGAATAAACTTTAGGTCAAATTTTCCCTATCGTCCAGTGATCTTCCACATCCATGGGCCCATAGAGCAAGCGCAGCAGGATTTCCTCTAACCATGCCTCCCAGCCTTGGTTCTGGGGCTCATTCACATAAACGGAAGAAGCAAAATAACTCTGGATTCGGCTATTAGTGCATTTTACAGCTATTAGGACACAATGACATAAATAAGGAATATTCAAGTTAAAAAAATAAATTATCCGCTGAGTTACAGACGTCTCATACACATGCAGACAGACCATGTCCCAATGTAAGTCTATGGGGAAGAAAAGTCATTTTGGGCCCACTTTGACCTGATAATGGTGCCAGATGAAAAGTACATTTTAAAATGAAATCAGCAAAGTTATTTAAATTCATCCTGAGGGGTTTGATAATGTCTGTACCAAATTCTATGGCCAATATAGCCATCAAATAGTTGAGATAAAACGCACCAAGATGGTGGACTGACCAAGATTGTCATCTCTAAAATGCAAATTGTGTCTTACAGTAGATGGATACAGTTCCATCCTGCTGCTGATTCTAAGTATTGGAGTCATTCTCTGCATTTGCGTCACTAGGCAAAGTTATTTTTTTCTAGTTTTGCAAACACATGGCTGTTGTGGTCATTTCATCTTCTATAAAAAAAAAATTCTTGTTGTTAAATCCACTTGTAAAGCACTTTGTGACTAATGTCTCTGAAAAGCGCAGTATAAAAATGTTTTACTGACTCACTTGTTGATTTGATTTTGCTGGAATACATTGGTTATTTCATTCAGTCATCTGTATGTAATGTGCTTTATTGCGACCACGGTATTCCAAGGACACGCTTCATGTCACACAAAGCAGCAATTTCATCAATTTGCTAAATTTCCGCTGTAATAGCAGCAGCTTGTGCTTTCTATCATTTATTTTTCTTGGTATTAAACTGTGTTCTACTGCTGAATTCTGTTCATTTTAAAGCTGCGAATACGTATCATCCCAATCTAATCATATCTTATTGATGTCCGTCCTTGTAGTCCAAACACCGGATGCAACAGTCAAAATGTTGACCTGAGGATGTCAGTCTGAGCTCAAAACACGGTTTGCAATTGCACACTTTGTACCAATGCAGCTGTAATTACTTACAGGTTCCTTCTAGATGGGATGAACTTCCCGAGGTCCTTCCTGAGGTAATAATTACTAATCACCAGACTTCCCCTGGCAATACTTGTGCTATCCTAAAAGGGCATTAGTCTGGTATCAGCCTGTTCTCCCCTACAGCATATCCCTGATGCAGCGATAACCGGTGCCTCTCTGGACCAGGGTGGGGGTTATTTATGATACGTGGGAAGGCACCAGGCTAAGGCATTTGAACTGAAGTGAACCATAGTTGGGAAATTGAGCCGAGTCAGCAAATGGAGGTGCTAGCACAGCAAGTGGGCAAACTCCTGCCTTCTTCTCGCTCGTTTACAGTCTTTACACACTCAATTCATCCATGCACAGATCGAGCAACTCCTGACGATGAGAGTTGGATTCTGCAGCAAAGTGATTGATGGAAGGCTTTTTTTTTTTTTTTTCTAGAAAGGATGAAATTGAAAAGTTTTGCTTTATTTTAGTGATTCCTTCACTCTCTGAAGGATCTATTTTTCTTATCCTTGCTGAATACAGATCATATCATTTAGAAATATTCTCCAGAGCATGACTCATACACCGTGTATAGACACTTACTTTTGAGGGATGAAATCATAAATTGAATAATATTCCCAGTGGGTAATACCTTAGGAAGTGCTTGTGAAGATAAATCATACACCTCCTTCACTCCTACCTGGTCTTCTTTGTTGGTGTGTCGGACAAGGTGTCTGAGGAAGGCCAGGCGGGAGCACTTCCTGACGAGGATGAGGTCTGTGGTGCCGTCAGCGAGGTGAGCGGAAGGCGAGAGGCCTTCCGGACTGCGGGGACACGCGCAGCTCATACTGGCCGCGTTAATGGCAATAAACTTTCCACGGATCACGCTCCAACCACTGCTCCCATCTGAAACAAGTCAAGAGTCAAGTTGACTTAACTGTGCATACTTCTGTTGGCCCTCTGAAGTAAAAAGTTATTCTTGTTCAATGACATTGTGATGCACCTAAAGATTGGATTTTGACCTTCGTAACCGTACACTCGACACACTTTTTAGGAGTCAAACCAATTATGGAAGCAGCCATTTTAATAAACTTGCTAATCCTGCTCATTTCAGTCCAACATACAACAGCATTAAACACCGTCCACAAAACTCATGTTGTGTTCATGCTGGCCAAGGTTGTTTACCTACACGCTTGGCAACAAGTTTCAGTTAGTTGCAATCTGCAAACTCATTTAAATTTGACACATTGCGTCTTTAAAATAAAGAAACATTTCAATGAAATACAGCATCCATCAAGGTTTCCAGTCTTTTATATGCCTGTGGGGGCTCGGAGCTCGCAGTATCCTCCAAATAACTTAAGTCACTTTCATTTACTATACTCCACATCGGATGAAATTTGTCACGTTCACGCAATGAAATCAAGTGCTGCGGAACTACAACCCAAAGCACACAATCGCCTGCAATTGTTGTACACCTTTCTGGTCATAGTTTCTGGTTTAATTAACTCTTCTCTTTTCACTGCAGTATAAAATCCCCTCCGTCTGACATTGAAACTTTAAAATGAACAGACCTTGAGCTGCAGTGAATACACTGTACTGTAATTAATTTACAATGCAATTAGATTTAGTTTAGAGTATTCTACCAGCTCTCTGCTATTAACTTGCACAAGCTTACTTTGTCCAGCAGTATTCGTTATTCAAATGCCAAAGCATTTATTCACAAATATGAATACAGACAAATATTGTCGTGGGGTTTCCTCTTAGATTGCCAATGAATACACGGTTGTTTCTGGTAAAGCCTTCTTCCATGGGTGGCGTTACCAAATAGAACCTGAACAGCATCATGGTTACACGCGGTTACAAAATACAAACTCAGAACGCATCCTGAGATGTTCGACTGAAACAAATAATGTCTGCAAATTTGGTTTTGAAACGATACTGTGTGTTTTGCAAGTGCTTTACGAGTCCTTAAGCGAGAGCTCTCCGCTTGTTGCACATAAGCAGTGATGCTGATGAGGGTCCATTAGGATCCGGATGCCTTGGCAGGAATTCTCAGAGCAGTGCTACCCTGACAATGGAGCCGAGATAGAAATATTGATGCTGAAAGTTATGTGTATTACCCTTGTCGGAGAGCTGAGCGTCGTCTGTTTTTAAAATGCAATCAAATTTAGCCGAGGAAGGGTTGACAGCATCTAAAGAGGAGGTCACATAGATAGAAGACTGATTGGATTAACCTCAAGTTTGCTTGTTATGATTGAATGCACAAGCGGCCTTTCGAATCTCAAATGACAGACGCGACGGTTGCACTTCACAAATCACCACTCTGATCCTCGGAGATTAGCGACTGTTTGCCGTTGATGGCGTATCAAAAGACACAGAATCACCCACGGGGCTGCCAGCGCTCGTCACCGGGGTGAGAGTCATTGGAGGAAGCGGGGAGAAAAAAAAAGTGATCACAGACATCCAAACCTCAGAGGGAAAATGATATGATCTCGGAAAGCAAAACGATTCATTACCCCCCACCCTCATTTCGCATAAACAAACTTACAGAGGTGATAACGCGAACCGATGATAACAAGCCCGCAGAGTCTTCATAAAAAAAAACTGATATTCTACTTGGAAAGCAGTGATTAAAGCTGAATAAGATGAAATAAACACAACAACAAATCCAACTGTGGGTGGACTGTAGGCTCCGCATTCGAAGAATGTCTCCAACTGAGTATTTGCTTCCTGAGGAGAAGCTGGCTCATTTGCAGAGAGAGAGAGAGAGAGAGAGAGAGAGAGAGAGAGAGAGAGAGGGTGTCCTGCCTCATTGATTTAGCAGTTGTCTTGAGATTTCCAGCGCCAGGAAGGGAAAAACCCCAGAAAAACAGAAAATCACAAAACAAACGGCAGCACTGGCTTGAGACAAACCACCTGTCAGAGCTGGCGAAGCCAAATTTCTTCCTGATTAGTGGGGAGTCTGTCACACATCGCACACAAACAGGTTGCGCTCTATTTTCATATTTACACAGGACCCCCCCCCCCCCCCCCC